CATCATCGACAGAGGTTCGGTCATTTTTAAAACGTGAATGCCACACAAAAGTTTGCGGACTCCCCAAATGCTTGCTTTAGCATTTCATAGGTTTCCGTAGCCGTTTTGGCGAGTCTTTGGCAACATTTGATGCACACGCCATTCCGAAATCGCAGGAGGGTCGGTGTAATGCACTACCAAAACGCCCGTAACTAAGAAACAAATGCTAATTCGATGATGCTGGCTGGCACACTGATTCACTATGAATGTAGGCCGCACCCCCTAGCGGCAGAAGCTCGTACTACATCCGGTTCGCCCTCTATTGACACAGACTGGAAACTTTGCGATCGCACCTCATATTCTGTAATGTGTTTCACTGAGAATCAAAATGTATGAGGCCCGGGGAATGTGTCACTAGGACTTAATAGCCCATCATTTAGGTCTCACGGAAGTTTAAGGTTAAAACCGGTCCATGAGGCTGATGCTGTGTTAGTACAGACAGGAGTAACGGAAGGATTAAAAACATTTACAATCATTATTAGATTACAAAAACTGAAAGTTTAGCTATGTAATATGAAAAGTGAATAAGACTGACATCAATACTGAAGATTAATTTTGTGTGTTAAAATACAATGAAATTATTACCTTGAAACTGTATTTATGTGCAAGAGAGCTAACAGCCTCAGCATCCAATAATTGGTTGTACAATGCGTTCTCACGCATACGATCCAGTCGAAACAAGATGACACCGCTATTCAGACCAGGGAAGCCCTGATCATCATGTGATGACCGTGGTTCACCAAACCTATGATTAAAAATCACACAGAGTTCTTGTAAATCAAGATTCAACATAACATACACATATGCATAACATATTGGAATTAAAACTGTTCAGTTACCTGCCAATCTCTATTCACACTGAAAGTTCATGAAGATGAATTACTTAACATACAGATTACATCCTAAATTTTGTACGACCTTGGTTCTGAATACATGAATTTATTTCTCCAAAGCCTCCAATCGGTCCCTCACTTTTCTTGCTTCTACGTGCCTGACGAGAGTGAAGGAATGCACTTCTGAGATGGAAGTGTCCACTGGATTTCATAAGCTACTAATGACAAGTTTATGAAGATGGGAATCTACTGCTTAATATTAGAATTTAAACCATCGTGGGAATCTGGTATTCCTCTCATTATTAAGTTTCGATTTTGACAAAAGAGAGACGAGCAAAGATATGTACTTGATATCATCAGCACAGAAATCCAGCATTTTACCACCAGGTTTTATTTTGACGTCATGTAGTAAATCAATTAATATTTATTTCTGATTCACAGTTTTTAAACAACAATTTACAATAAATATATTTTCCTTACACAAATTATTTATTTCATGTCAATTCATATCGTGACAGCATATGGAGCCAAATATGTGACAGAAAATGTTAAAATATGCAAGTAAGTCAGAATTTGAACTCGATAGCTTTCTTTTATTTTTCTAGGACCCTCCAATCAGGAGATATCATAACAATGACATAGACACTGAACTAAAATTTGTATGATTATTATTAATTAACTAATCAATGTCCTTGGAATGTTGGTAGCCATTTGGACTGTGCTCTCCTCAACTACAGCGACCACATCCAAAATTGCTTAACTACAGTCGTCTTAAATTTAAGGGTCTCATACCATCGAAGATAAAGGCTGTGATCTTCCAGGTTGTGACACGATGATTACCAACGTTTTGCAGAAATGCTGGTAACCACATATAAGAAAGCATGCAGCCACATCACAGAAGACCACAAGCGACAAACAAGAACCACAGTCTGATCAAAGAACGTGTAGTTTTGAAGACTGTTTTTATTTTCCTCCATGTAACACACCTTGTGTCCTTATGGCGTGATCGGTATAGGTACAGGACATGTCGATACACAGGGGTGAGTTCTGGTGCTAAACCAAACAAGGTATCTGGCCCAAACCTAAAACAGTGAAACAGAAACAAGAATGTCTCAGGTTCTCCAATACCAACTCTTTTTATATGCTCTTAATGGGGAGTTAGCATCCATGCACACCCACTGAACAAAATACAATATATGCATATAAGGGTGACTCCGTTAGAGAATACAAATGTATACACCACTTTAATTAATGTTTTGGAGAAAACAGCCTTGACATTATTTTTTTATTTAGTGTTCTGTCTGACGACAGGTCCATATGAACAGGACCTTCCATCCTTTTCTCGGACTGGGACCTGTTCATATACGTTCTTGGCAGATGATCCAGAAGTGGTTTGCCATTGCCTTCTTCTGTGTGTGAATGGAATAATTGTTGGGATGCCACGGAGGAAAACTCCGTGTTGCCTAGACCACGGCCTTGCCCAACACAAGTTATAAATTCGGGCACCGCCAGGAATCGAACCCGAGACCCCAGGATTACAAGGCCAGCGTTCTAACCGCTAGACCACCGTAGCGGTCCTTGACATTATAAAACAAAAATTTCACAAGTAACAAAAAATATAACAAATGCCTAATATTATCCAAATCCCAACCACTTGCTACATTCATAACTATCCATTAGCATGCTTGCTTCACATAAAAGAAATCACTACAGACTCAAATCCATGTCATCTATACCAGCGTTTTTCAACCACTGGTGGTACGCGAGCCAATGTTGAGTGGTACCCGAACTAAGTAAGAAAATCAAAAGTTAATATTAACATAAATAACAGTTTTCCCTGAACACATTTGGTTGTACGCCAGTGAAAAAGGTTGGGAACCCCTGATCTATACCATCTTTGCATTAGGCCAATTTACCTTTACACTTGACACTGCCCTGGCACGTGAATAGATGTATTTACTTTGTCAATACGAATACAATCAAGGTAACTCGATGCCAATCAAAATGCCAGTACTTCCTGACTAAGAATTCTAGCTCAGCTAGGTCTGCATGTGGTTTATTTAACACCACTTTCAGTAGCTCGGACTATAAAACACCAGACAAAAGAATGATAATTAATAACGAACTGGAAATAAAATCAGAAGTCGTTATGGCCTAATTTCGAGTAGTATCCCAGCATCAGCCTAGAGCCGCTGAGGAACCATAAAAAACCTCAGTCAGGATAGTCATTTTCCAGGCCTCCTAAATATGAAGCAAAGGATCTAACCATTCAGCTCTGACGAGTCTTTACGAAAAACGATGGCATATCTCCTATTGCATGTGGAACGGTCAAACAAGATATTATGTTTATAAAATCACCGCTTGTCAACTAACGTTGATATTGACACTAAGTCATCATCCTGTACTTTTTTTATACATTTGCTTGACCAAATCTGGCAGTTCCTCATTCGTTTACAGCAGATAATGAGAATCTGAGAGTTTTTCTACATCATCTTCACCACATCCTGGAACCCTACCTCTTTTGCTAGAACTGCAAATTTTTGTGCAGATACGGATAATATCAAAACCTTCAAAGAAGTGCACAACATACGATACGGATATAAATTTAAGTGTATGGCAGGACAGCTTTTATCATGCGTTTGCAATTCAGAATGGTCTGAAACAAGAAAATGTTTTATCACCGCTGGTTGTCAACTCTGCTTCAGAAAATACCATCAGAAGATTCCAACAAAACAAACAGAACCTAGAACTGAATGAGGCACATCAGCTTTTGGCCTGTGCTTATGATGTTAATCTGTCGGGTGAAAACATAAATATCACAAAGAAAAACACAAAAGATATCCGTCTTCTGGGTTATTGCGCTGTGTAGTCTGGTCGATGTTAACCAACGTTTCAGAGGTCATACTGCCTCTGTCATCAGGGCGATAAATATGCATATTCATCGCCCTGATGACGGAGGCAGTATGACCTCTGAAACGTTGGTTAACATCGACCAGCCTACACAGCGC